TGAACTATCTGCCAGAAAAAAAAAAATACAAAACAGGACTTCCAAACCATAAATAATATTTTTGCAGTCATGCTTGCATCCTTATTCCTGAAACCAATTTAGAAAACAATTGGACAGGCCACCCTGGGAATAAAGAATCATTTGCCATCAGACTTTAATGTGTGATTACTTAGTAATGTAATTGAAAGCATGACTGTAGCGCACTGCCAGTTTTCTATTGCCAAGAGATTACATCATAAATGATACAGAGGATTTCAAACCATTTTTTTTATTCCATATTTGTTGTGACAAGTTTTACTTAATATTTGCATCCATTTTTCATTTTCAAGCATTGCACAACTAAGGGAAGTTCTCTCAATGTCAGATTTGCTGGCTATAATCGACACAATTAATCGCAATGATTATCGTGTGAAAGATGCAGTGCAGGCTGGTAGCATCTCAGCATAAGTATATACATGGACACATAGGTGCGTTCATAACCAATTTATGGCAGCCTTCAAGCCTGTAATGAATCAGATACAAAACAAAGGGCTAGTTAACTCACTTGCCATAACCTTGTGTCATTCCACGGATGTTAATAGAGCTATGCTGATTTACATCAACTGAGGATCCAGTCCAAAGTGTACGCTATTTAGTTTTCATTAGCTGAGCACCTGGCCCCACATTGTGTTGACCACAAAAGTTTGTATAAAGTTCATGTTCACTGAGACAAGCCCAATTCATAAAGCCTCTGCTCTCCTTTTTTTACATCTCCTCTCCCTCAACCAAAGCTCCCAGTGACTTTCAGTAAAGTCAAGGGACAGCAGCTGGCTACCAGTTTCAGGACTGGATGCACCGCAAACTTTAACTGAGTAAAAACTAAGGGGCCAATCCATGACATGATCTTTATGCAGAGACTCTACATAGATCCAATACAGGGCATCTATACACGTACTCTGGGTTGAGGAAGAGGGGGTGTTTTAATTAAAGCAGATCTCAGGAGCCACTCCAATTAAAATGCCCTCAGCATCTCCTGTATTCAGCATCCCGCATTTCAAAATGGCAGCACATGTGCTTTTAAGCTTGTTCAACATGGTTTTGTTAAACCACCCCCACCGCCATTTTGAAACATGGGGATGCTGAATATACAAGAAACTGCAGCAAGCTGGAGCGTTCCATTTCGAACCGACTTGATTAATCGAGTGCATCGGAGCACACGTAAAAGTGCCCACTTGAATCTACTTTGACATTCCTGATGAGCCCATCTAGCTAAGAAATCCCCACTGGAGGACAGTCCCAAAAAGCAGCCACTGGCAAGAAGATTCAATAGAGCTTTGCTGCCAGGAAGCTTGCCTACACAAGTCTTGGACTCTGACAAAACCCCAAATAACAATGTAAATTTTAAGGCCTGACCTTCCTGGTGCTTTCTAGTCCCCCGGACACAAAATCTGATGAATTCTGAGGTGGTGAAACCTGAAGTGGTTCTTTCTTCCTTTAGTCCCTTCTCACATGCTCTTCAGCAAGAGGGATACATTAGCACCTGAGTAAGGACTCTGGGATTTGGCTGTACTTTGCTTTTGCCTTTTTCCTTTTTCCTTTCTTATTGTGCCTTAAATGACCATAGGTGAGAAAAATCTCAGAAAACTGGGAAGGTCTTTAAAAAAAGTGGAGGAGGTGAAGGGTATTGTTTAAAGTAAACTCTGTTTCTCCTTTGTTCCAACATTCTCCATTTACCCAAGTCATGGAAAAACAGTATGAAACAGGAAAGCAGTATAAAAATAGGAAAACTTCCTTCCAGAGGCTTACCCTGGTCTAACTTTCCCTCAATTAAAAGACCTAATTACTTTTTCAGAGGCTTCCATTCAACAGTAAAATACAATTCATTTCTCAAAAGAGCAACTTTTTATTACAAGACTTCTCATAACACATACTTGCTTCCTGGCTGCTTTTACATAAGGTTCCTAAACTCTTTTCACAGTATTGAATGATTGGAACAAACCAGATTACCTCCTCTTAATTTGTCCTGGTGACCTACTGTAAACGTTAATAAAGAGATATTTTCTGCCTGTAGCTCTGTTTTCACTGTAGAAAACTATGTCAGTCACATTAAAATACTTTTAACCTATTCGGTTCATGATTGTGGAAGTACCAGAGCCTTCTGGGCTTTGTAATATAATAGTACCCCTTTATCACATTGAATGGTTTATTGGAACCAGCTTGTACAGATGATTTAGTTTACCATAGTGAAGCCACAACTGGAGGGCTGTAATCTCTGTTTGGGGACCCTTCTGTCATTTTTAATGTAAGGGAGTTTGGTCTGGGGAGGGGCACTGTTTGTTTGGTGTTGGGTTTTTGGGGGTGGGGGGAGCAGGGAGGGGGTATTGGTCTTTATTTTCTTTTTGCTAAATGAGTTTTCACCTGATTTGATCCATTATTTTTTTAATCTAAATACAGCTTTGAGCCAAGTGATGGGCTGACTGTGCAAAGGGGCTGAATGCACTACATTAGAAAATAGCTGTTTCTCAGTCACTTTCATGAACTTAAATAATACGACATGTGTCAACTGGGTCCTTTGACGATGCTGCCATAAAGAAATACCTACCCTTTGCATCAGATTGCACTCAACTGATGTGATGACTTTGATGGATACTTTGTGATATTTCATGGAACATCTTCATATGATACTAATCTTATAACAATTTTCACTGCTGGTTTCATAACAGGATTCTGCATTTAGCTAAACATCAAGTAAATTAGACAAAACAATCTCTTTGAGAATATGTAAGAAATTCACTTCTATATGATTTTATTATGACAATGTTTGAAATGCATAACTATTTTAAATTCTACATTACTGTTTGTATTGGCTAAATAAAAAAAGGGCACCCACCCAGGCTCTGAATAACCTTAACAGATTTGAAAGACAGAATTCAGACCTGACATGCTCATTGGACACTCAGCCCAATGAGAGCAGTATCCCAGCATCTACACAGATATAGAAAATATAATCACAAGCCCCACCAAAGATAACACTACGGACCAGTCCAACATCACATTTCTCCCAACCCAAGGCAGAACAGAGAGAAAAGAATCGATGCTATACTCTTGGAATTTTTCTTTCTTGGACTGAGGGAACTGTCTATTTAGAGTTCTGGTGCTTGCTTTCCTATTTCTCTAAACTTCTTTTCTTGATATACCCATACCCTCTTAGGCATAGGGTTTGAATCACTGAATCATTAGGCAATGATTCAAGGGGCACAAGCTGGATCACCTCATAACAAATTGCAAAAAAGGCAAATTACAGACTTTCAAGGAAGTCAATTGCTACTATTAGTTGATGTAGGGCAATGATGACCTAGAAGTTTTTTTTGCATCCATTTTAATTGGAGAGACTTCTCTAAACTAATCTACTTCATAAATAACTTAGAAAACCAAATAAAAGCAACAGCTGAGGTATTGACCATGAAGCTACAAGATGAATAAAAAACCCCACACAATATTTATATGAAAGCAAAGTATTTGAACAACTGTCGGTTCTTATGAAAATTACCTTTGCAATATTGCCAAGGCCAATGAGCACTTATGTCATCTGCCAAATAAGTACTAGCTGTGAACATTAGATACCTAGGGGCTGGACTGATCTAGGTTGAACATATGACATTTCAGAATAATTTTCTTCCAGTACTTGACCTCTCCTGATCAGAGGTTACAAATTTGGCTGGAATTTGTCAAAATTGGGTAGTTTTTATTATATGGACAAATTTCTGCCAGTGACACAGTGGCAACTGAGACTACTGGATACATTATTCTACTGAACTCCAATCACATGCAAATCTGGGTTCACAAAAGTTATAAGGCAAGGATGTAATTCCACTTGACCATGTAAGCTCCAGTATGTACATTAGATTTGGCTAGTTCTGCACAACAGAGCTATCAAATGAATTGGTGAAAGGTATCAGAAGAAACCAGATACAACAGCCTGAAGTAAAGCACAGTTAGTTTGTCAAACATTATAAATACAGTTTTGTTGACTTAAAAAAAAAATTATCCGTGCCAGTTTGTCCAAATTTGAAGAATTACCAAGGCACGCTAGCTTATGACTCACAAGTTTTGTCATAGTTAGGAGTGTATGGAATTCATTAAACAAATATTCTGAAATTTTGTGGGATCCATTTTTGTACAACAAACCACAAAACAGTTTTTACATTTTTTCTTATATTGGCTGTTTTTGTTGTTATCATTACATCAGCACAGGGATGGGTGGGGAGGAACGTAACTTTTTTCATTTAATCCTCAATTCAAAAAAGAGGACATATTTCTCCAGTTCAAAACATATACAGCCCACCAAAATACAGAAGTATCCTGTTCTGCTCCTATCAAATCACTACTTGCATGAATCATTACTTAAATAGGAGCTGACCAAGAAATACACACTGGATGCTGTCCCAGGGAGATGAACCAAGCCCCAGTGTCACGATGGGCCGGGGTGGCAATTGAACACGGAAACAGGCCGGGTTTTCAGGCGAGGAGAACTGAGACTCGTAAATTGTTCTTGGTTCCAAATTAACAAGGGTTTATTCAACTTACGCTTTGTAGGCGTAGGTGATGATTCTTCGGTTACAGTCTTTGAATACAAACACAATGCAAAGGGGTCTGTTGGCCCACAGGGTTCCCCAACAAGCCCTTGCTATCTAGCCCGGAGGCTAGGGGCAGCTGCCTGTTGGTTAGTCCTAGGGCTGGTCAACATCTCATATGGTGGAACACAGACAAACAAACTGTAACTGGTGAACTGTCCAGTCTCCTTTGTGACGCCAATTCACGATTGCTGCAGATGAGAAGTCTGGTAGCTGGAGAGTTGGGCTGATCGTGGAGATGACTCCTGGCCGTCATCTCAGCAACCACCGAAGATTAACATGAATCAACAATAGAGGAGAAGCCTTCTATAGCTTTCTCTCTCCTCAGTATGGCAATCTCCTCTAAACTCACTAACCAATTGTCCCGTAGGACCAACTCTTTAACACCCACTACTTCAAAACTATCTCTAACCAACTCACCACCGCACACACCCACAACTACCCCCCCCCGAAGTGGGGGGCTAGAAACTTTTATAGGAAAACCGTGGCCAATTAGCTTGCTCCTAGCCCAGAAAGTTCTCGTCCCCTGACGTCACAGCAATCTCTTCTGAGTCTGCGTCTAGTCAGAGACTTTACACCTACTGAGCATGTGCAGAGAGAGAAACTGGGTCATGGCTGATTGACAGCTCTAAAGGTTACAGAAAGGGCAGCTCTGATTCTTATATGGAATTTTCCACTTGCAGCCAAACTAAGTTCTAGCATTGGCAGCACTTATTCAAAACTTTACCTCAACAGATGCAGCTTCACATGCAATTAATGCTCAGCAACAAACTGAGGCAGACATTGCACCAGAGTTTATTGCTCCCAGGCATGCCTAGGACTACAGCACGTTGAGCCGGGTTTAGGCAGTGCCAGTTGGCAGAGGATCTGGGTGGTCAGCTTGCCAGGCTGGGCCTGCTCCAAACTAGCTCAACATGCTGTGGAAAAGCTGGCTAGGGCATGAGGGTGCTTCATTGTAGGGATAGCCAGCAGGCAGCCCCCACACTGAAGCACCCTCCTGTCCCAGCCAACTCCATCAGCATCTACAGGTGCCTTGCTACAGAGTAAAAACCTCTGCCACAGGTTAATACCTGTAACACAAGTATCACAGAATTAATTAGTTTTCTCCGTCCTATTAGCACTGCATGTGTACATGCTGAGATGTTTACTGATGAGCTAATTAGTAGGGGTGTGCGAAATGGGCCCGAAGCAATTAAGATTCAGATTTGGCCCGAATCAGGAACAGTGATTCAATTCGTTGATTCAGATCACTGTTCCTGATTTGATTCAGCTGAATCTGAAGCTTTGATGATGATTCAGAGAATCAGCGATTCGGCCATAGACACAGCTTTAAATGTTTTTTCTACATACCTCAAGGTACCAGGCACGGCCCATGAATGCTGCGATGCTGGGACAGATCCCACAGGAACATGGTGGAGGGGCCCTGCATACTTGGTAGTGAACCCAGAAGTGGACCGGAATTACTTCCAGTCCACTTTTGGGGCCACCAGGGAGCATGCTGGGGACTCCCGCATCCCCCAGCTTGGTGATCAGCCACAGGGGGGCCCTGGGTGACCGCCCCCAGACCCAGCAGGCACCAGTCACTGAGCTGGGGAGGGTGCAGGGAGGGTCCCCATGCACATTCCCTGGAGGACCCGAAAGTGGACTGGAAGTGTTTCTGGTCCACTTCCAGGTCTACTGCCAAGTGCGCTTGAGACCACCCCCCCAACACACTCCTGTGGGATGCTCAATCGACCCCAGCTCCACAGCACTCATGAGCTGCCTGGTACCTTGAGGTATGTAGAAAAAACATTTAAAGCTGTGTCTATGTCCAAATCTCTCCAAATCAATTTGGAGGGTTCCAGTTCAACTCAGAGAAAATAAAGGGTTTCCTGATTCCATTCAGATTCGGAGATTTGGCTACTGAATCAAATCAGCAACCAAAGCTTCACACAGCCCTACTAGGCAACTTCACAGTAAGCGTCTCATGCAGATGCAGTCATTGACTTCAAAAATAAATAAGTACATAAATAGATAATAATAATGAACCCATCCTGGAAAAACCTGGTAGACCTCTCATTCCTTCATTTCATTACTGAAATAATTTTCCTTCAAGATATTAAATAGGTAGGCTTCCCTCTGAAGCTTTCAGTTGGAGGCAGAGGGTCTGGCCCTTAGCTGGTATATAGGCATCTAATCCTGTTGAATTTGAGGACCATCTAGTGATTTGAGTAGACCTTTACTAATTTACACTAGCTGAGGATCTAACTCAGTGACAGTTGCATGAAAACAAGAACACTTTACTATGTCTTGCCATGAAAGAGCCTATGGAACTTTTTAAAATGATACCATTTACTTCAGCAATTTATTTGGTAGCCTTGTTGGTCTGAGATGAGAAGAAATGCAAAAATCCAGAACTCTTGGTTCAGAGATTATACCAACTGGGAAAACTGCAAAAAAGACAAGTTCCCAGTTGGTCTAATAAAAGGTATCATCTCTGAACCAAGAGTTCTGAATTTTTGCATACCATTTACTTTAACACTTGTGCCAAATTATGTACCAGGCAGCTACATTTCATGTATCAAAAATTTCCTCTGAAGTCTGGATTGGAGAAACTATTTTAATTTCCTATCTAGTACTGTTGTATACCATTGATCTGTGCTGTTAAACAGCTGCTGTGTTTTGTCCCAGAGACAGGATATACTTCAGTGGTGCATGAGGTGATGCCTGTGTATATGGTTTGTGGTTAAGACTGCAAATGTCTTTACCATCGTTCAAGATACAGAGATGCTATGTAAATGAGAGGTATTCAAATACAGTATAACCTCATAAATCCAGCATGCTTGGGACCGAGCACCTGCAAATTTGAGAATTCCAGATTTTTTAAACCAGATCAGCAGCTGGTCCTGGAGGAGTGGCTGCACACGGGCTGGCAAGACAGGGAGGTGGATGGCAGTGGCAGCCACCACATGGAAGCTTCCCCCTCCACTGCTCCAGGACCAGCCGCTGCTACTCCCCAATGTAGTATATTTTTTTAAGTGCCAGATTTTCAAGAATTCTGGATTTATGAGATTATATTGTTTATTTTTCTTTGCCATGGTGCAGAACTGAGCTTTACAAGTATAAAAAGACTTCTCTACACTACAGTAGCCTCTTCTAGATGTAATATCCACTATGTTACTACTTCTAACACATCTCTAATGTTAGTACCAATTGTGAAAGTGCTACTGTAGACATGGTACCAGTCTTGACCAGGGTCCTTGTCTGAGTCTGTCCTACTCTAAGTAGGCTAAGGCTACATATGGTAAAAAATACAATGTCTTGTCCATAGTAATACTCCCATTGTAACTGCCTCTCTCATGTACAATTTCAGTTTTGACAAATTGGTATTGGTATTTTCCATTTGGTGGGGGGGGCAGGGTAGAAAACATCATTAGAAAGTTCATGAGTATCCCTCTAGTTGAAATCCTAGAATGCCAATGCACCCACTTAAAAAAAAGTTCTTCCAATTACTCTTCTATGACCTTTAGACCCTTAATTTACTCATTTGGCTGGGGTCACTGACTTCTAAAAGGCAGAGGTATATGATTTTGTTTCATTTAAAACAGTACAAATTCTAACATACCAACCCTGTAAAAATTACTTCAGACGTGTTTACTACGACTGCATTCTGTTCCCATGCTCTACTGCAATAAACAAATGACTTCTGATTTAATATGAGCAACTGTATCTTTTAAAAATGTTGGATTTGATGCTGACTATATGGCTTTGGCACATCAGAGAAATGGATGAATTTATTTCATTTAATACTTTCCCATAATTTAAAATGTAACCTTTTAGGTATTTTTATGATTCCAGACACTGTGACATAGATGACAACATTAATATCACTGTTTTTGTCACTAAAATCTATATCAAATACATTAGTATGGCCACAAACTGAGGCAGTTTTTCAAGGAAGTTACTAATTGTATTTGCTTCTCTGAATGAAGTGCAGCAACATTAATATACAAGACTAGAAAAATAATGAAAATTCAGAGAAGACATAGAAAGGTACTTCTGTTTGTGGGGGGAAATAGAGTTTTTTTTTAAATTGAGAATGCTAGGCATTCCCAGTAACAAATCTACCATTTTTTAAATTTCAGCTTTTATTGTACAATGATAACAAACCATATTTTCCAGCAGTTAGCCAAGGTATTACTGGAATTCTTACCCTTAAGAAAAGAAAAAGGGCAAGTCATTCTGGCCAACTACAGCTAGTAAAATATTTTTCCCCTCCAACATTATATTTGATTATTATTTGATTGTTTGTTATTAATTAAAGATTGCCTACTTAAAAGGAAGCAACATGTTTTACACTAAAGTTGCTATGGCATCTAGAAAAATGTACATTTTTTTTCTTTCTGATTGCTTATGACTGGCTAGGAATTTGTGCAGTTTTCTGTTGGAGAAAATCTACATTTTAGTAACCTCCAGATTAGAGTACTGCAGTTCAGTATACTTATGAAAAAGCTTAGCTTCAGTTAGATGAAAAAATGGCATCTAGGCCTCTTAGCAACATCAACCAACAAGAGCTCATCTCTCAAGCGCTCCAGGCACTACACTGGTTCTCTGTAAAATACCGAATCAGACACTGGGCCTTCATCCTAATCTTCCTAATTTTTCCCCCATGAAATAGGCTCAAACTTCCCGCAAGAATGCTCCCTCCCCCCCCCCCCCCCCCCCC